ACCCATGTGGCATTTAGCACATTCAACTAAACTTCTCCAGCCTCTGCTTGGTCATGTGTGAAGAGGAGTACTATTAATCTCACCTCATAGGACTGTTGAGATCGGAAGATGCATGTAAAAAGCTCAGCACAAGCATCTTAAATATTGTATAATTAGTAGAAAGGAGTTTAGGTGTACTATTGACTAATGTTTGAGGGATAGGTAAAAATACAGAAAAAGATTTCAAAATTGTTTAATGAGGTCCATTAATTGATTAGTGATATCCTCGTAAGACTGTATTGAATTTGCAAACCATGTCTTCTGACTTGGTTTGGAAAAATACTAAATAAGGCAAAACAAGTTTTGGGGTTTGCATATATTTTCCAACCTTTTTACTTGTTGATCACTTAAAATGTTTGCCTGTAGATCTGGAGTAATATTGTCTAATACAGTGTGGCGTAAGCACATTGGCCATGACTTAATAAGAAGCAGCATAATTAATACCTTGCTGTAAGGGGCTAATATTGTATCCTTGGCAAAACAAGCATTAGTTTGATCTTAATCAAGGAAGAAGGAGCTTGTTTTTCATTTTTGTTAGGGCAGGTGCAGAGTAACTTTATTTAGTCTAGTGTAGACCTCCCCCAAGTTATGGTGTCACTACCCTCTTTCCCTGAAAATAAGACCTAGCTGGACAATAATCAGTCTTGAAAACTAGAGATCAAAAATGCCAGCCCTAGGTTTCTGGTGGAGAAGTGGAAAAAAATGCCAGCCCTAGTCAGCCTATTCTTGCCTTACCTGCCGTCACTATTCTCTTGCTTGGTAGCTCCTCTGTGAGGCAGGTAAGGAAGGACAGGCTGATTTGGGCTGGCATTTTGATCTCTAGTGTTCAAGGCTGATTATTTTCTTTCCTTTTTTAAAGATTACAATATAATTGTTCAGGTAAAATTGATTAAATCGGGATCAAATGGGGAAGCAGGTCACGTAGCAAGTGGACATGAATATAGAACAGGGGCTTTTCCTGTAGGGGGTTGAGTCAGTGACTCTTCCTGGCTTTTTAAAGATGATTGATACCTACTTAGAATATCAATCCCTGATGTCCATCCCTAGGGAGGTATGTGGGTGCATTTGTTTCATCTTTTGTTTTGTGGTCTGGCCCACAGTGAAAGTGCCTGTCTCTCCCGCAGTTGCAGGGTATCTTGTCTTCTATACTGGCTCCTTTGAGGGCCTGGCCCTGTCTAGCTGCCTATAATATTTTTATTTAACTCAGCTGCCTACAACATTCCCCTCTTTGAAAAGTAACCTGAACTACCATGAGGGAATAATGGGTGATGACTGCTCTGGCTTCTTCAAGCTGAAAGGGGTCCTAGTTGTTGATTGGCAGTCAGAGATATTCTCTGGAGAGTCTGTCTAAAGGCCCTCAATTGATACCAGGCATTTTCATGTTGGGTAGGTGTATAACTTTAAGTCTGGAGGAGACAAAGCCAAAGAAACAATTAAGTATGCATAGGCCAAATAAAGTTGATTATTTTCTTGCTAGGTCTTATTTTGGGGGAAACTTGGGATTTATTGAATATTCAGGGTATTTAGTACAGTCTCTACTTTTGCAGATTATAATCTGAACATTTGAAGTAATGTGGGAGCTCTGGTAGTTTTTTTTCCTGGGCTTTATGGTGTCTTGTTTTACACATTTGCTAAATAGTATTCATCCAAAGACTCAGAGACCCCAGTACAGATTTCTGGAACTCTATTCATTTATAGCAGTTTCTTGAATTTTGAATTATGCATTTGTACAAGCAAATCACACATTTTTTTTCTCTGATATGATGTCCTCTGAATTCCAGCTGCCTCTATGACTCTGAATGCTGATTTCTGTTTTCTTAGCTCCATATACCAAAGTTTATCAAATACTTCTGGGCTTACCTTCTTTGCTTCTCTTCTGTCAAGTGACTGTACGTTTCCAGATATCTGAAAAGAGTTACGTCATATGTCTTGTCAAGTTTTAAAGTTGTTAAAGGGGAAAGGTCCCTATCGTTAGAGAATGGAGCATGACGGACTCCTGAGTACTTCAAACACAGCTTGCAGCTTTGTGCGTGGTGTAGTTAAGATTCTATATCATACAAATGACAGCATGTCTGTCTGTCTGATAGGCGAATTTCTGAACTCATTTGTCATCAACGTTTAGACAACTTATTGTTTTTATTGATTATAAATGGAATAATTGAGTTCTACGCTCATTTCCACGTTCTTGAGGAGAACTGGGTATGCCAAAAAAGGCCATGGCTTTCTTATTCACCAAGAATCTTTCCAGTCATAAGGTCATGTAGAACCTTTAATTTCTTTAGTTATGATAAGCACATTTATTACTTATGATAACATAAGTTAATAAACTATGTCTATGCAAATGTTTTCAATATAATTTGAGATGAAAAATGATCATATGCTGGCCTATTTCTTAAAGAAGTACCAACATGAAGGAATTCTTTCTCTCTATAATAGGACTTGGTGAAAAGAAATACAATAAATATAATTTAAAGGGGTTAGAGACTTTCCATCAACTTTTTGCTTAATACATAAAAGGTAATACAAAAATTGAAAAAAAAATCCAAGAAAAATAATTAGTTGGTTTTTCTTCTTGGTAGGAGGTAGGGGGCCCACTGGTGAGAAGATGTTCATTAGTAGGTTTTTGTTACAAAGAGTGTTTGCAGGCATCAGTAAAGAATATTTATCTTTGCTTGCAAATGATATTGCCTGTGTCATGAATAACTATGAGGCGTATACAAAGGAAAATTACCAAATTTAAATTTGCACATTTATTTCAGTTCCTTGCTTCAAATGCCTAATGCCTATTAATTCAGATGCCATGATTCTTTTTTCTTCTCCACAATCATTTTGACTGGATAACTTTGGAAAACATTTGAAAGAAGATAAAAAGTCTTTGTTTTATGACTGCCTTGCGAATTTACTGGCTCTAGCCTTTTTTTAGGCCTTGAACTTGGAGAATTTCCTATCCATTTATAACTTCAAATAATCTTTAAAAAACAAACTTTGATGTTAAGTTTTTATTCCTTAGAGTGTGTAACTTTACCCTGCTAATTGTCTGTATGACACTGGGCAGTCATCTTACAAAGACTGTGGGATAGTTGATACTACCCTACTTTTACAGAGGAGAAATCAGAGGTGGGAAAGGGTTTTTGTGTGTTAATCATGGACAATTAAATATCATGGCTGAAATAGGAACTGAGGGATAGGTAGTAGAATGAGCTCAAAAGGGAACCTGATTGTGGTTCTAAGTCCGTTGCTCGTTTTGGCCAATTTCTTACCTGAGCTTCATTTTCCTTGTTTGTAAAGTGCTGGACTACAATAAGCAAGGTCCTTCCAGCTCTGAAGTTTTATGATCATTTGTTTCCTTTTGGCCTTTTTCCCTGTATTGTGTTGTTTCCTTTTGTTTTCCTCTGGATGTACTTTGAATTCCATTTGATTTTAATTTCTCCTCTTCTGTTTGTGCCTTGAAGGAGTTTTAATAAAGGGGTGGAAAAAAATAATAGCATTTAACCACCAAACGTACAATGAGTCTGTGGTTTAAGAATAGTCTGGCTGATTTTCTTATTAGTCTTTTAATGTTTTATTATTGTGTTACATAATAGTCTTATTACAAATTGAAATGATATGGATTTCAAGTACCCAGATAGTCACTGTTGTTTGGCTTTACTATTCATCTTCTGTATGATATTTGATCTTCTACTAACCTTATTATAATGTAACAGAGAAGAGTTATCAGTAAACTAAATTTCTTCACAAAGATACTGTGACAGAACAGAAAAGTAATAATTATTCCTATAATTATTTTACACTCTTGAAATTAAAGACATGAAAGTTGAAAATATCCGAGATAAAACACATGCTTCAGCGTCTTCAAAATATTTTAATAGTAGAGTTTCAGAACAGTGAAGAAATGAGAAGACTACCAGATCTTTGAACTGGGTTATGAAACCTATATCAAAGTTTGGACTTTCTGGACCCCACTTAGTATTTTTCTGTGACTGATAAGTCTGTAGTTTGCTATTAAAATGTTGCAATTTCAGTTTTAGATGGTTGAGCAGTAAATTGCTAAGATTAGGCTAAATGGCCAATTCTATTAGAACAAATGTCTATTGTTTTATTTGGTTTTATTGGAGAGGGAGAGTTCACTGTACTGTTTACTTATAGTGATTATTTAAAATTTTCCTCTAGAAGAAAAAGTCCATGCCACTTTTGTGGAAATGGTTAAGTGAGCGCAGTAACGAGGAATTCAGGGATGATTTAGTGCAGAGCATCATGCAGGCTTCCTGGCCTGTGCATTTTAAACAGTACTGTGCCGTCTCCAGGCTTACCAGAGTGTAATCTGTGAGCAATTGAGGCAAAATCAAAATCAGAAACCTAGGAAGGTAATATTGTTTTGGAATTGTCAAGCAAAAGACTTTGGTTTGGATTTGTTACGTCTGGAACCAAAATGTCACATGTGGCACACATCATTTAAAGTTTATTATTTTAACCTTAGACCTCCTTGTTTAAAATGTACGCTATTCAGAGCCTTGCATCCCAGCATAAGCATTTTTATTCTATTATACCTGAGTCTGTGCCAGCTCCAGGGTGAGCATGGTGAGACCACAGCACGGCCGGCTGGATGGCCCCCGTGTGGTTCTACTCTCCTGCTGGAACTGCCAAACCCAACAGGTTTGAGGGGGTGCTCAGAAACTGAGGCATGGCAGCAGGTAATTGAAACCATTCTCTCAACATCTGGAAAAAACCCACTCCAGTCATACTCTCTACTGAAAAAGAAATCATCCCATGCTATTGCTGGGAGTTGCAGGAAAGTAAAAGTGGCGTCATTTTACGTTACAGAAACATTTCCACGGACAGACTCAAAAGCTTGTGGTTACAACGTGTGACATTCTTTTTAAAATTCCTCATGAAATCAACAGAACACATCTAGCAATTATTTGGAAACTTTCTTTCCTCCCATTTGTACAGCATTGTAATGATCCCAGGGATCTCGTTTCCATATTAAATAAACCCACGCTGTTTCACTTTTTGGCTGACTGATCCTGACTTGGAAATTTGTAATTGTCATTCAAGGTAAGTTTACCCTTGATGTGAGGGCTCCTTCACACTAGCAAAAAACAGGTTGTCCTGGAGGATTAAGACGCGGCGAATTTGAGTTGGCTTCAGAAGACATAAGGGTGCTGACAAGGAGGAGGTATTTTTACTTTTAAATCTAAACAAAGATTTATAGATTGAGAATTTGATCAATTTCTTTTTTGCAGAACTTGAACCTTCTCTATGGAGTTCCAAATCGACATGCCTGCCGTGGATTTACATGTTCTCCCAAGTTCCCCATTACTTTCAGTAATAATAATGATATATTGATTTACTGTTTCTGCAGTGGTTTTTGTCTTTACAGTAGTCATTTATGGGACACATGGGGTAGAGATTATTTTCTTCCCTTTGAAAATGAGGATCCTGAGGCTCAGAGAAATTAATAGTTTACCCAAGGTCACACAGCTCGCAAGGATAGAGCTAGTTTGCAAATAGGTCTCCTGACTCTGGACCTTGTGCTCTTCCAATTAGCATGTGGTGCCTGTGTCTTCTTACCAAAGTGAATTTTTTTGGACCAGTTTTCAAAGCAGTTTTGATGGAACACATCCAAGAGCTGTTTCCGTGGAGCTAACAGCATGGAAATGTGCAGTTTCTCAATCAGGACAGTGCTCATTATCTTGAAATCCTGAGACTGCCAAAGATCAGTGTGAAATGGTTTCTTACATCTCTACTTGTGTGAACATAGCAATTCGCTTGCTTCTTCACTACAGTGTGTATTTCTGTCTCATCCTCAAGATAGTTATTTGCATGTCTATTTCTATATCCCAACTCCCGATGGCCAGTTTCAGTCCTATTCATCTCTGCTCCACTGTACCTTACACAGTCTTACATGAAGCTGATGCTCAATGAATGTTTACCAAAAGAAATTAAAGATGAAATAGCAGGATTTGAAGACTCTTAATATACTTTCTATACTCTCTATATCAGTCTGTCCAGTAGAACTTTCTGCAGTGATGGAAATGCTCTATATTTGGGTTAGTGGCTAATGTGACTGGCTAATGTGACTTTCTAATTTATTTAGATTCAAATTAATTTATATTTAAATAGCTACATGTGGCTGATAGGTACTCTGTCATACATTGCAGCTCTAAATGTCCATATATTTAAATTTTATGAGATTCTTAAATTCTAATTGCATGTAGGCTATTGTCCTCACTGCTTTTAAAAAAATTTAAAATGATTTTTAGTCTCGTTAATGCATATTAATTTTGCATATTAATGGGGTTCAATGTGGTATTCTGTGCATGCATTTAGCATGCACTGCTCACGGTGTTTTGATGAGAAGGTTGTGTGGGCAAGGAGATGCAGCAGTTGCTTCAGATTTTCATAGGCACCTATGGGCAGCAGCCCTTTCTGCTCCTGAGTAGTTTGGAGGAAGTGGGTGTGACTTGTCCCTTGGAGTTGCAAAGGCTTGGGAGGAGCTCTGGATGATAACCTGGGGATTTCTTCATTTCTTGAGGCCTGTAGTCTGGGCCAGTAGAAAAGAAAATGTCCACATTTCTTAAGAAAAGCAAATCTTCATTCAGAAGAAAGAGGAAGGCAGGAAGCTAACATTTGTTAAACAAATTATTATTATTTTTCTTGTACAGTTTGGGTGGCATCTCATTTACTGTAGGAATCTTTAACTTCTGTGCTCCGTCCTCATATGCAAGGCTCTGTCCAGCACCTTGAACCACTAAGTTATGCATTTTTTCTTCTCATTATAAACTTCTAAGTTCTTCCTCTGAAGTTGTTGACTTGGGATTAATAAAAAAAAAGAAAAAAATCCTCTCTTCTCTCCTTTCCTCACCAGATAGCGGTAGCGAAACCTACCCAGGAAGAAAGAAATGCTGTGCATGCAGGGTGGACCCCTTTGATCTCCGCGACTTCTAAGAACCTCCATTCCTCATGCTGTGGCTTCTGCTACTTCTCTCAAGGAGCCAAAAGGTTAAACAGAGCGAACGGCAGGAGTGAAATGGCAGCCAAATGGGAGAGTCTGAGCGGGCCCTTGAATAGGTATCTATGTGTTATTATGAGATTCTCGGTGCAAGTCCTTTCTCAGGATGTAAACAGTGATCTAAAGGTAGATTTTGAGAGCCTTGTGCTCTATGAAAAGTAAAACAAATATTTAGGAAAGGAAAATGGATGCACTGTTCATATTGATGTATTCATGAGGAGCTGCAAGAACTGCTGTAAGTGAATCCCACATTTCGGAATTAAAACTTTAACTCAGGATTGGTATCATTATTTGTGAAGGGACTCCACAGTATCTATTGTGATTCAAAGAGCAGGTTCTGCCCGGAGGAGCCTACTAGCTAGGGCTGGAAAAAAAAAAAAACAGTTGATATTAATATTCTGTATTGTGTATGAAACAGGCACTTAACAATATGTTCAGATTAATGTTTTAACCTTCCTTTCTTTTCTTGTAGAGGTGGAAGGTAGGGATTATCTGTCCCTTTAGGCATGAGATGAAAGCAAAGCACAGAGAAGCAACTGACCTGGCGAAGCTCACAGAGCAATCCCGTCTCTATCTACTTTGGCATTTGAACAGGGAACTTCAAACCCGCAAGCCAACAAGCTGGCCTTTCTCTTCCATAATAGGATGACAGCTCCACTCCCTGAGCAGATGTAAGGAAGCCCACCTGTACAGAATGTATAAATAAAAGTGCAGGGAAAGGACCGGAGACGAAGACCTCAATCTGGGAAAGCTGTTAGAGAGAAGGCAAATTGATACCTAGAAGTTTGGTTCTGATTCTCTGAACTTTTTAAAAAATAAATTGTGATTTTGGAACAATTTTAGATATTTAGAAAAGCTGCAAAATAACCACTCACCCAGTTTCTTCTCATATTAACATTTTATATTTGGTTTCCTGACCTTTGCAATAATTTTATATGCATGAGTGCTCCTTAAATAGATTTCTATTTACCATTGAGTTTGTTTCTCTACTTTCCCTCTAACGTTTTCCCAAAGGTGTCCTGCTAAGATAGAATAACCTTCACTTATGAAGAGAATTCAGCAGTTAAGCACTGAAAATTTCCATTATAAAGTTTCTGGGGGGTCCTAGTAACAGTTACCATTGATGAAGAAGATGGAAGAAGAATATTTGGAATGACAGGAGAAATAACTTCAGAAAAAGGGAGAATCTTTTTATGTAGCTCTTAGGATGGAAGTTGCTTTATCTTCTCAGAAACCATTAAGGCTTTATCAAAATATGGCGATGACAAAGAATTTTGGAAACAGCATTTATAGAAAATATATTAATGGAGACCTTCGTTTCCCCAAATTCCTGGATTTGTTCCATAGTAAATAGAAACAGAATTAACCAGGTCTACAAAAATTGGGTTGGTGATAGTGTTTGACTTTATAGTTGGCAAGGTGAGCAAGTGCAGACTGAGAAATTTTTGCAGCACTTACAAGGAAGTAAAAGGTAGATAAGTAAAATCAGTGGGAAGACAGTGGTGTCCAAGGAGAGGATCCATCTGCAATAGAGAAGAGCTTCATATAAATGGTACCTGGATAGGACCAACCCAGGAATAAGGGTCTCTCTAGTTGTTTGCTGAGGAGCACTGACACTCCCATTACATTTGCTTATCATTTGAGTGCAATTATGCTTAATGTATCTATAGAAGGAACTATAGAGAATTCTCAGTATTTGACAGCTTCTGATCCATCCACAAATATGGTAATTTCATATGATTCAGTTAGTAACCAGTGTATGGTTAGTCCCACAAAGTTCCTCTACTTTTGGTTGCACTTTATATTTTTGTTGTTATGACTTTGGAAGTAAGGCACAGTTAGTATGAAGATCACTTATTTGAACTAGAAAAACCCAACTGACATTGATTATGAAAATACCCTGAATGAGCAGATAAATGAGCACCCTCTTGACAGAATGCTGCCTAAACAGGTTCTTTTCCTGTGAGCCACACAGGGCACCCTTGTGTTGTAGTTGTTTTATAATTTATTTTCAGGATCAAATTGATTCTCTGTATTTTGATTTGTGAATTGTACAGGTTTAGTAGTACTCAGCACCTTTTTTTCCCAGAGATTTAAGACTCCATCTGAAAATGATTATTTATCATCCTAAACCATAAGGTTTAATTTTCAACCATAAGGTGGCATCATATCACATTTTATTCTGAAGAAGCAGGTTGCTTTTCAGCTCACTGACATGACTAGTGTTCTGCACATGTCCTTAAATTGTTGGTGTAAGACATTCAATTTTGAAGTTTGTAAGCAAATATTAGAAGCTGGCATCTCTATATAGAAGTTTAATATTTTTTCTTATATTTGATCTTTCTATATTATCACTGGGAAGTAATAGAACAAATTATTACTATATTAACTAATGCTATGTTTTACCTCATTAAAATATGGAAGGCAGCTTCTTGCATATATAGAAGCTACTCAAAATATTCATTGCATGATTAAATTAAAATATTCCTTTAATAGGCCTTACCCTCAGGAATTCATTTTCTCATTTGTCAAGTTGAATTTACAGCATACTTTTATTGCTATGACCCATTTCTTATCAGGATAAGAAGCTTATTTTATGAAGAAGTTAAACTCAACTGAATACATTTAATTTCCCTACTATCCTTTTAAAAATACATTAATTTTTTTTCTTTAACTTAAAAAAAGTGTACCATTTTCCTTTGCTTCATTAGAAGTGTCCAGGACTTGTGAATGGCATACATGTAGTGGTTTACTTTCTCTAGTTGCTTGATTGAAAACTCTGGCTTTGTTTTGAAACGCTGAGCGAAACTTGGTTAATTTTCCGTGTAGAAACATTTTGTACCTTGTAGAAAACATTGTAAATGCTTTCCATATAAATCCTCCCTCTCTTCATATGAAGTGATTTTGTTCTTGGAACTCTGTAGTTCTGTGGGAAGTCTGTGCCACTTTCCCTGCTAGGAACACTCCCACGAGGCGTGCTGCAGGGCATCTTAGAAGTCTAGGGAGGAATGTGGGGATGGAATACTGAAGACTGTATTTATGGACATCTCGGAGCCTTTAATTCTTATATGGACTGGTTAATCATTTAAAAAACAACGATAAGTCTCCATTGTATAAGCCAGCTAGGATGATGCTTCTATTAAGTTGATTTAATTGATTTCATGAATTGAGGTTTGGCTGTACCCTAGATATTGACCCACCCCTCATTTTTTCTGGACGGAGCTCTGCTTTTAAAAGAACCAAATTATATTTCTCTCTTTCAAGAAGTCAGCACTTTATAGTGAATATTTTCCTCTCTGAGCCAGAATGAAAAGTCAAAGTAAAACAAGCAGGCAGTGTGAAACAGAGGCAGGCACCATTTCAAGGAAGAGGGGGAGGAAGGCACGTCCGAGAAGATCTCGGTTTAAGATAAAGAATGAGACGCCAGAGTCAGCTTAGTAAATTGGGCTTTGGGTTGGATGGGTGGAGGGTGGGATGGTAGTGGTCCTGGAGAGCCCCTCAGGAACGGAAAAGTACTTAACCTGTAGCAGAGAGAGGAGCGGGAAGAAGAGTAGTATGCTGGCACATGCGGTGGGAGAGGGGTAAGATGTGGTGGAGAGGAAGGCCAGCACCATGGCAAGGACTTCTGTTTTTTTTTTTTCAATCTATTTTTAATTTGCTTACAGCTTATACATGCACATAACGTATTTTGACCATTTTCTCCTCTTGCAACCTTTTTGCCTTGCCCTCCCCCTTTCCTGTACTGTGGATCTTTTAAATGGAAGGCAAAGAAAATGAAGAGTTTTAAGTAGGGAAACACTTTGATCTTGTTTATTTATTTATTTTGAGGCAGGGTCTCACTCTGTAGCCCAGGCTGGCCTCAAACTCACAGCAATCCTCCTGCCTCAGCCTCCTGAGTGCAGGGATTAGAAGCACGCTCCACCATGCCTGGCTTTATTTACATTTTTTAAAAGAACACTTTGGTTCATCAACACTGGGATGGATAAATTGTACATCCCATCAATGAAATGCTATACAGCCATGAGAATGGATGATTTGTTGCTATGGTATGTAACAGCATGAAATAGTATGTCAACTCATATAATGTTGAATGCAGAAATCAAATGTAAAAAGGGTTACAATCTATGAGTCCATTTATGTGAATACTCTATTGCATGGTTTGTGTACTGGTCACACAGATGTATGCACTTTGTGGAAATTCAGTAAGTGTGCAGTCATGATTTGTGCACTTTTATGGATGTATATTAATCTGTAACAGTTATGAGGGATTACCCTGGCTGCAGAAAAGAGAATCTATCATAGAAGACGGTGGAAGTGGGAGCATCAGTTAGGAAGCTACTGAAGTTCTACAGATGAAAGGTGATAGGGTCAGCTAGGGTAGTGGTAGAAACGAGAAGTGACTGTGACCTAGATCTGCCTGAATTATAGCACAGTATTAAGCACCAGATGGAAACATGAAATAACTGATATGTGATGACTTTTGTCTATTAAAAATGACAATATTACATGGTTCAGTCAGCTAGGAATGGATTAGAAGAGCATCTTTGACTCACTCTAATTATTGTTGCTCTATTAAGTATGATAACTCTTGGTTTTTTAATATCTTTTCTTTGCAATATTAGGAACAAAATCTTAGGGTTTTGCCTAAGATCAGAGCTTCAATGACTCCTTTCCATTCAAATAACCATATTACTTTCTCTAAGATGAGTTATAGTGTAGTTTTCTCTCATATTTTTACCAACCCTAGGAGTCATGCATCAAAACTGTAGTTTTTTATTTTTTTGTTTTTTTCTGGTACTGGGAAAAATTGAAGTTCTTAACTATTTAATTCACATACTAATAGTATGTCCTCCTCTGTAAATATGGTGATACAGTGCCTGTCAAAGCCTTTTTTGTTTTTAAAAGTCAGGAATGAAGTGTGCCATCACATGAGGGTATAACTTGCACTTAAGGATATGGATGTTAAATACTGTACTCAATTTCTTTGGCCCCTCTCAGGTGGTTTTCATGTCCATTCAGGTAGCCTTGTGTGGGTTGTCAGATTTCTAAGAGAAGCGTGAGATCAAGAGGCCCCTGACTGGTACAGTAGGGCTCTTTAAGTTGTGAGCACTGAGGTGTCTTAGCTGGGTGGCTGAGAGGTACAAAGAAGGCTGCACAGTGAATGCTGACCCTGAAGCCCTTCCTATCGTAACAGAAGCTTCAGATTCATATCCACCAAATTGACATGTGATAGTCTAGGGAGAAAACAACCGTGGGAATGGTCTATTGAAAGTAATTTACTTTCTTATCTATCACATTCTCAAACGGCCTACATTTAAGCAAAGCAGTGGGAGTGTAATACCCATATTCTGAAAGTTGAGAGGGTCTAGGGGAGGCATTTTAATTTTATTCTTTGTATTTTTTTTCTCAACATAATTTTTCCACACAAACATATAAACTAAAAGTGGAAGAGGTAGATGACATTCGATATGTACTTTAACCAGCTTTGAAATCATTTCCTCATATCAGAAAAGCATGCCTCCTGGTTAGTATTAGATTTTCAGAATGCACAGATGGAAAATAGTTACCGGAAATCCGCTCTACTGGATGTATTTTTGCATTGTGCTTCGCTGAGGATAGAAGTCATCTAGAAGGTTCTAATTTCCCCCCCAAGGGCTATCACAAAACAGCCCCCAGAAGAGGGGTGGGGTGGATGGGGGAGCAATGTGTAAATGTTTCCTTGAAAGATGGCCTTTCCTGCCTAGTTATAGAGTGAAATCGATACCAGCCTCTAGGTTTGTTGACCTGTTTGTGAGGCAGAAACTAAAATGTGAAA